GAAAATTTATTCGTATTGAATATCCAATTGAAAATTAGTTAATTTTATTTATATAATATTATTATATTTAATCGAAAAATTTTCAAATTGGATTTTCTCGAAAATGAAGTCTTTAACAAAAAAAATTTTATTTTATTTTTTCATAAGGAATTATTCTATGTTTATTTGTATATATTATTCGTTCGACGAAAATTAATATAAATTTATAGAAATTGATATAAATAATAAAATTTATAAAAAAGAGATACATAAATAATTATTCTACGAATATTTATTGCACCTAATAAAACACTAATAGAAATTTCACTTATTGTTAGAAACGAACCAAGATCATGGTATTGTTTAGGGAAGGTCAGGTTCTTGCAGGTCTTTATGACAATTTTAGGGGCCATTTCATTTAACTTAACTAAGTTTAAAAATTTTAAATATGAGAAGTTACAATATGAAGTTATTATTGAATTTTAAGCTGGATGATGAATAATGCAGACAAAGAATAAAGACAACTTGCCTCCGAAATACTATCCCATTTTGTATTTCATTGTTAATTGAAATAGTAAGGTTTCAGAAATATTCAGACCCTTGTCTGAATATTGTACCAATATTTTCTTGAAATGTTGACATATTTTTGAAAAATTTTCTACTTTCTAAAATATATTTACTCAAATATAGCTACAAAACGTGCATACAATTTATTAACAATAATAAATTATTTTTAAAGACAAAAGAAAATGTGCATCTTTTGAATTTTCTAGAAACTTTTCTAAAAACTGAAACTTTCTTAAACTTTCTTTTCTTAAATCAATATAATTTTCAATAAAAGAAAAGTAAGAGAAAAAGTTAATAAAGTTAATAAAAGTTTTTATTCTATTTTTTGAAATTAAATTTGAAAATATAATTTGTATTTATTTCATTATTTCTTTTTTTTTTTTATTTGGTAATATCTTTTCATTTGTCACAAATTTTTAGATACTAGATAAAAAGTGATAAAAATTGTAACTGGAAAGATAAGATTTTTTAGTATTTACTTGTCAGTAAATATTTTCGCATCTTCAAAATAATAAACTAACCGAATAATTACGGAATTTACCACAGCTACTATGTACCGAACAGCAGGATTTAAGAAAAGGATCCTTACAAGAAATATTGCGATGACACTTTGACAAACTATTCTAGTCACACCAATCATTGACAACGATGATAAACATCTTTTGTCACATTATTACGCCATCGATCATTGTAGAAAAAAAAAAAATTACATAAATAAAAAAAATCGCAAAAGGAAACAATCAATCACTTTTTATGATAGCGAGTATAGTTCATCATTTCATATTCGAATTATTGAAATAAATCTCTTTATCTTATTAAAATAAAATAATCTAAAATCTTATTAAATAAATAAATAAATATCTATCTAAATAATTGTACTTTATCATCCATAAAAAACAAAAGAAATATATGAAAAATAAGAAATAGAATTTCAATAATTATACATAAACAAATATTTATCTAAGTAATTGTATTTCATTATAAAATTTTATCATTCATAAAAAATAAATATAAAAAAATAAAAAAATTTCAATAATCATATCTAAAACTATAAAAAAGAACTATAAAAATTGATCAGAAATTATTGTTTTCTTTGTCTCAATTCTAATTTATTTCAAAAATAGAAATATAAAAATAATATTGCATCTAACTTTTTAATAATTATTTAAAATTCAATTCTTCATAATTTTTTCTAAAAATTATTAATTTAAAAATTATAATTTAAAAAAAAAATTATAAAATAAAAATAAGGTATTGATAATCATTGCATATTTATTTCGCGTACTTGTACAATGAAGAAACGAGGACAAGAACGAAGTGGAGGTCGAAAATGCCGGTCGGTAAACGGGAAAGATCACAAAGGCCAAAGAGAGACAAAAAGGAAAAGTACAGGAAAAAGGATAAGAGAGAATGAAAGAGAGGGAACGGGTATCCGTAGGCGGAGCATTTCCAACTGGTGGACGAAAGGAGCTTAGGGACCGTAAGTGCTAGCAGCAATGCGAGTCAATATTGTGACACACGTCACAGTCGGTGGGCCTATGCCAGCTGCTATTATACCAAAAGATTATCTTTGCCTTCTAAACAGCTAATATAATCCACCTTACATCTCATCATCAACGAAAATGTGATTTCTTATGATATTCATATGAATTTTTATTGACATTCACGAAACACATCATTTTTCATATATATATCTCGAATAAAGATGCGAAAATCTATGAATAATTTATTATTTTGATTTGATTCTGATCTTGATTGTAAAATAGATTGTAGGATAGATGATTGATCTTTAATTGTTGGATAGATTTTTTTTATTTTTTTGTAATTAAATAAACAAAAAATTAATAATTTTTTTGTAATTAAATAAACAAAAAGATGAACAATCTGACGTAGATAAATAAGTATACATATTATTTTAAATCAGAAACAGAAAATCAAATCGAAAAATATATGATAAGAATAAAAACATATTTATTATAAATATATATAAATTAATAATTGTTTTATTTGAAAATTAAAATTTATATAAAAAATGAAAATTTTTATTTAAGAAAACTATGACCATGATACAGTCATTATAACCTTGAATATCAAGACAAGGTCAATATCAAATATATTTCTGAAGCATGAAACATTTCTTTAAAATTTTTTTCAATAAAATTTAATTAAATATTTCATGATAAATTAAAGACTGATATTTAAGTAATTTCATAATTTTACAAATAATTAGATTTTATAAAATAAATTATTTATACTATTAAAAACGTTAAAAAAAAATTTTTTAAAGTTTAGTCAGTTTATAAGATACTTACTTACTTATCTTTCTAAATTTTAGAAAAGTTTAAAATCGATATTTTAATCATAAATATATGTAAATAAGTAAGTACTTAGATATTTTTATTGAAACTGACTTATCTTATTTCTAGAAGTATAATCGATATAGATAAAAAAAAATCAACTTTTAATCTATTATCAAATCAAATTTAATTGAATTTAGATAAAAAAAAAATATATTTACATATGTTTATATATTTTGACAAAAAGTAGATAATTTGAATTTAATTATAAGTCATAAAATGATATAAAGTCATATAATATATATATTTTTATTACTCTATTATTATTATTATTATTATTATTATTATTATTATTATTATTATTATTATTATTATTATTATTATTATTAATTTAGAAATAAAAGATAATTTTTTAAATATATTTGCAAAAGCTTGCAAGAAAATTTTACTAGGTTTTCAAATTTTTTTATCAATCATTTTTTATCATTTCTAAAACTTCTAATAAAAGTAATATGATGCGATACGTTTAAATTAATTTCCAAAATATATTTAAATGATATATATCTACGCTTATAAATTTTAATAAGTGAATTATATAGCTTAAATTAATTTAATGAAAAATATGTATTTATGTACATGTATTCTTATACACGAATGAAACATAAAGAACACGAGTTTCAAGTCACTGGAAACAAATATAGAGTATACTGATAAGCAAGGGATATCTATATTATTGTTGAAAATAGTTTGAATATAGATTGTCCGTGCAATCGTTATGCGCAAATGTTTAATTCTCATTTAACGGTTATGTAAACGTAATAAACGATAATGATCGATCTTAATCATACTCATAGCAAATTCAAGTTTTTAGCTTTAAATCATTTTCACAGCGTGGTGATTTATGAACCGAGCTGTTGCAATTTATAATTGTTATACATTCTTAATTATGTATGATTTTGTTACGACCACGCAATAAAATATCATACTAATTTGTTGGCTTGGTGCAATGAACGCGATTCCCATCCATACATCAATATATATAACTCAAAAATATACATCAATTATCTAAATATACTTATTTACATGTAATATTAAATAAAATAATATAACAATACAATATTATCGTTCATAATTATAATATTTACTGTAATAAAATAATTACTTATCATTTAAATTTTAAAATGTTTCAATTCATAAAAGTAAAATAAAATTAAAATTTAGGATATTATAAATGTAGTTTTTTCTATTATTTTTTGCATGGAATTGATTATATAAATTCCTTCTAAATTTTATATTTTTCATTTTCACAATAAAAATGAATAAAAATATTGTTAATTATGATTTTTTAAAAATGGTTATAACCATGATGTTATTTAATTTATATGATATTTAACTATAACTAATTGTAATATAACTACACAATAACAAACTTTCATAGTAACAATTTTGTTATATACATTTATATGTACGATTAACTTAAAAATTAAAAACATTAAATTATTTATATTAAAAATTATATTAAAAAATTTCTCAATTAATAAGAAATCATTATTGGGGAAAGCAAAGTGTAAAAAAAATATTAAAAATTAAATTATACTATACTATCAAAATAATATCGTGAAAGTCAAATCTAACAATTTTAACTTTCTTGTATGCATCCAATTAAAAGAATTCTCCCACTAGAAGTAGAGGTCATGTAAACACACAAAGACAGAAGATATATTTTCATAACGTGGACAAAGTGCTGGTAAAGTGCGATAAGCGGGAAAAATATTGTCTATTTCGCATCTTTTACATGGGAATCGCGTTTTCGGAGGCGTGAGGACCGCCTTCTGCGCGTATTTTATCGAATAGCGGCATGTTTGGGCGTTGGGACGATGGTCGAACGGCCATTACGGTTGGAGAGTGGAGAGCCGAATGACGATTGGCGGAAAAGTGACCGCGTGGTGGGGATAAAAGCACGCTGTAGGCGGACTTTGTTATTTAAGTAAAGCTGTCGCATCCTTCGATGGTCACAAATCAGAAAGCAGTCGTAACCAAGAACTCAATAAGATCGCGGGTGTTCAACGGCCATCTAACTGATGGCCGTTACCATTGGTTCTGTGTAGTGTACCCCGAGAATCCGTGCGTGCATCATTCCACTTTGGAGAACAGTTTCTTCGCTAAATACATAAAATATATACTCAAGTGTTAATATTTCTCGATTCTTCTCAGTGCTCCATGAAAATAATAGAAATAGACTTGAAAAATTTTAACATTTTTAAACCACAAAGTTAAATTATGAAAGACTTGACTAATTAATAATATTTTTATATTGACGACAGCTTCATTGATAAGCTGGAATATTTATTAATACAGCTTAATTGTTAAGCTGGATATTTATTAATATAGCCTAGTGATAGGCATAAATATATATATATATATTTATATAGTACAAGTGCATAATATCATCTTACCTCAATGGCGGATATCAGCGGGCTCGGTATGATGCCTTATTACACTCCGTTCGCGATGTACCGGCAACAACAACAGATTGTTGGCCAACAACCATTAGGGCAACAGATGCAACAAACTCAAGTGCAACAGACGCAACAGCACGCGAGTAGTTCATCTGTTGCCGACGGTGGCCAACAATACTGGTACGGGTACCATGGACATCCGCACGGAGTACACCATCAGGCTGCTGGACAGCAGTATTTGGATCCCGCGGAGGTTCTACCGAGCTGGTCACATCATGCTCACGCGTACACACACCTCCAATACCAGCATCATCAGCCGGTGTACCAACAGTCGCAAGTAAGCGGAGTGACAGATTGGACCGGCGATGAAGCAAACACAGGGGTTGGAGCTGGAGAGACTAGTCCGCCAAACACCATCAGCGGAAGCGAAATGAGCAATTCCAGCAATCCAACTTCTCCACCGACTAATAATAGCAACAATAGTATTTCATCTAACAACAGAAACAACAATAGTAATAATATGGGACACAATAGCAATGTGAGCAACACTAACACCAACGTGCACAACAACAGCACGACACCGAGACCAGCTCAGGTTAGAAGTCCATACGAATGGATGAAGAAGACATCATATCAGAGTCAGCCGAATCCAGGTAAATGAGAAAAAAATTTATTATTAAGTAAGAAAAATTATTGTAATAATTGATAGTTTTTTGAATTAATTTTTTAAATTTTAAAATTAAAAATTAAAATAAAAATTCAAAACCGTGAATTGCAACAAATAATTTGATATCGATATAATGATGTAGTATCTAATAAATAAAGCGCGATAAGAATAGAAAATAAAATTTAAAAAGTAAATATGTTCATATTTACAAAATATACTAATTAATATTCTATAAGATCATTCCACTAGTTCAAGATCTAGAAATTGAAGAAGTTTAATTTTCCTTTTTTTTTTTTTTTACATTTAATAACTAATAATTGATGATATTAATAATATTGATCTATAAGATATATCTCAAGATATTCACCAAAGTGAATTGCATTAAATAACGCTATTACATAAATTCGAATTAGTAAATCAAATAGAAAAACGAAAAATATATATAATATATAGTGTAAATATATATAATATAATATTAAATATATATAAAATATATAATAATAATAATAATTATATATAATACAATATATTATATAATAATAATAATAATATAATAATAATATATATAATATATAATATATAGTGTTTCACAATTTTCAATTTACCTATATAGAATATAGTTAAATTATTCGATTCACTGATGTTCTATTATGATGTTCTATTTAAATTCTAAGATATTTTAAACTCTAAGTACAATTAATTAAAAAATTCGAAATAATATTTTATGAAATCATTACCGGTTAAATTTTAATCCATGTATGATGAGATAATGGAAATGAAAATGAATAGAGATACGAAATTATTTATTTTTTCTAATAAAATTCGTGTAAAGATCTGAATTACTGAATTCGTCAGACTGATTGATATAAGTACGTAATGAAAAGAAAATGATAGATAATAAAATTTTACAAAATCGTTCGTTAAAATCTTAATGCCTTTTCCAATGTATCAAATTCGACATCAATCGTATTTATACAACATTTATACAACTCGTTAATGATAAGAAAGCAATTTTTCGATTTGAAAAATATATAAATATATAAGTTGATAAATTTTAACATTACATAATTTTAACATAAATTTTAGCGTAATTACTTTGTTCACGATTCGTTCGTAAAATAAAATTCATTCTTTAAACGAAATTTTAATTATCACATTAAAGCAATTTAAAATTTCTTAATACCGATAAAATATCCGTGTTAATGGAGTCGCGACAAAATCTTTTCATTTCACGTACTTTGTACATAATTCTATTTTTTTAATCATATTATTATTCCTGTAAAATTAATAAATAAATCTACAAAGAAATATTTTTGATAAATTCTATTTCAGCTATTATATCGTATTTTATAGTTATTAAAATATTTGTTTGATTTAAAATATATTTGAACGAATTATAATTTTTACAGGACGTTAGTTTTCTATGTCGACAAATACGATGTTTTTTTGTTTACAACAAAAAATTCGAAATAATATGTATGTCTACTTACACTTTTGTTGTATATCCTGTAGAATATTTTTCGTTAATGTTTTGAAGATATTTTGAATTTCTTCTTGAGCCGAATTTTTCTTGTTAAGAAATTCTTATAATATAAAAAATATAAATTCAACATAATGATTAATTAAATTTTATAACATATTATAAATTGATTAATTATGCGAATATACGAATAAATGAAAGAAAATTTAAATGAAATATCCATGGAGAACTTGGTGTACATCGTGCACGGTTACAAACACGTCTGCGGTCTAGATACGAAGAACAATGTAAACACGGTAACAGACGAGCAAACATCTAATTGCTCTCAAATATTTGTGAGATAATCTCCGTCCTCTCTTGCTGTCGCCCCGATTTTCAACCGGACCAACGAAAGCGGGAATGCTACTCTTTCGTGTCATGGTGGTTTCAGCAATCATGTAATGACAAAAGATTTCGTTAAAAACTTATTTACCACTTATTAAAATGGAAACATTTTAATAATGTTATTAAATTGAATTTCAAAATTTCAAACTAGATTGTATAAAAAAAATTTAGCAAACAAGTAACGTATAAAAGTTTTATACAGATACATATATATTAATGACGGTATACATACATTCAAACGAAAGGTCAAGTCAATAGTTTTAAAGAATTTATATTTTAAAATTATATTTAAAATTATAAATTTTTATATTGAAATTATTTCTTGATTTATGATATTATAGATTTTAATTATTTTGGTAAATTTTTCGGTTTCTTAATTAATTTCTCATATAGATATAATTTATCATTTGAGCTTCCTATTATAGTATTATATCTATTTGCGGTAGAAAAGATTTATGGCTTAGAAAATTACGATGTAATTTCGAATTGAAGAAAATATAATGTTTAAAATTAATAGATAAACGAATTAATAAATTATTATTAAGAATTATTAAGAAATTTATAAAAGAAAATTTAGATACTACATCTTAGTAATTTTAATAGTTGGATGATTCCGAAGATAAAAATTCGATTCGATATAATTGATAAATCCATTTTTTATTGATTAGGATGCCAAGGATATTTATGTCGCGATAAAAATATTTAATTATTTAGTGTAATTATTTAGATGTATTTTCTATCATTGCAGCATGCAACATAACAATAAACAACAATGCAGATTCAACGGTTCATGAAGTCTGCATCATTGATACTATTGGTACGATAATATATCGTTTGCTATATTTTATATTATTTTTATTTAAATAAATGTTTATATATGTATGTATGCATATAGATGTGTTATTCTCGAATATTTTATGATTTGCATGCTACAATTATAAATTACGTTGAAGCAATTATCATTTTAATTAATCATTTTATATTTTGAAGCTCGTTTTATATAATTTGAGCATGTTTTATATAATTTTATTCATTATTTCATAAAAATTATTTTACTAATAATATAAATGTAATATAAATTGATGATAATATATTTAGTATTAGATATATATATCTGAATGTTTCTCTAAATATATTTCTATATATTTCTAAATATATTTCAAACATTTTTCAAATTTTTTTCAATTACTTTTCATATATATATATATATTGTCAAATGTAATTGCATGATGTTAAGAAATGATATTACGATTGAAATAATTTTTAATTTCTTAATTAATTTTGTATTGAATCTTTAATTAATTTGAATTATTAGTATCAACAATCAGTTTCAAAAAAAGTCGAATTCAAAATTTCGAAAAAAAATCCTCAACATCTATTCTAGTTTATTTTCAACGTTTCGTATCCACTGACTTTTTCTCGTATATAAACATAAAACTATTAATTTTAAACCGTCGTATTCAAATTGTCTACGAAAATATAAACACAAAAGGTCCTTATTTTCAACTGACAACAATTCAAATACAGACAATACAGTTAGTAGTAGCATGTATACGAAATAATCGTGAAGACGTCAGAACGAGCATCAAAGCTCTATCCTGTTTTCTTCTTGCTGCTCAATTTCATCCTGTTTTTTCTTTTTTCTACGGTTTCACAACCGTGCGACCCTTCAATACCTTCTAGCGGCTATTATCTGCATTTTATGGTTATATTGCAGGCAGCCGTTGCTCGTATAAAGACGACTCTCGCATTCAGAATACGTATTACAATTTCGTGGCGGGTATTCGCATATTCCTGTCGATGTGCGATTTTTCCTCGTAATTATTAGTCCTTCGAAACGACCGCGTTTGCTCGATTCTTCGATAGAAATAGGTATATTCGCGATTTCTCCGGACTTTATTACTGAAGCCATTTTAGTTGCATCGTGAGAAGATTGGTGAACGATCGGATAATAATATTTTTAATAGTAATAATCTTTACATAAGGATGAAAAGAAATTTGATTTAGTTATCACTTTAAAAGATAATAAGATAATAGTTACGATGTACGAATATTCGTACAAAATTATATAATCATTTTATTAGAAATATAAAATATTTAAATAGCTCTAATTTTTTAATACTTTAACATAGAATTTACAATTTTTCATCTACTCTTCTTTTAAAACAGATCATATAAATCTTAAAAATTTAACATCATATAATAAATGTATTTGAAAAACTTAATCATTTACTTAAAAATTTTATTAGACTATTTTTAATCGCTTTGAAACTAATTTTATCGCACGAAGAAGAAGAAATTATCAAATTTATTCAATATCAATATTATAATTATATCGTAAAATATTTTCGAACGATTTGTTTTGCCAATAGTAAAGATTAATTAAATTAGTCACCAGTTGAAGTCGACGGGAGATTTACCATTCATCTAAATCTTAAATTCTTTTAAGAGAAAAATATCTTTGTTCAGTAAACGGTATCGAATGATTCATTTCTTCTTTTACCTGACCCTTTGTTATTTGGCCACAACTTAAGAACTGACTGGTAAACTTCTTTGCACGGTAATATCATAATAAGATGAGGGTCAAAGTAGGGATTTTTCTCGACACTTAGAGTGGCCAGAGGATCAATGACATTTTAATCCTCTATATTGTTTCTTGTACCTCTTTTGGGAAACAAAAACATAAATTGTTTCCGGATTTGCTATCATTATTTATTACTCATCTTTACATTTCAATTTATAATTTGCAATTTACAATCTTGGTACTTTTAAACGTTGTAATGTTGGGGGACGATCATTGTATTACATACTACGAAATATACCTGCGAACCACTCGAGATTGCAATTCAATTAAATTCATAGGATCAGTCGAATCAGATTTTTGTAAACGTTAGTGTTTATGGTATCGCTGTGACACGCGTAAGTGCTGCTATCGAAGATAAATATCTCATACTTCGTTTAATTACAGATAACGATTTCTACGATTCAGAAAACTGTGTATATTGCGTTTTACTCTTCGATTTTGATCTTCATTGGTGAAAAAGAGAAAAGTAATTTTGTGTGTCAAGTAATTTTTTTATCTAAAGTCATCTTTATTTTTGCAATTATAACTTAAATTATACTATCCAATCAATGGAAGAAGATATTACCTGCAAAAAAAATGTGAAATGTTAAATAACAATAAAATATAATATTTTATTGAAAAATTAATTGCTAATAATTGTTGGTTATTAATAATTGAAACAGTTAAAATTTATCATTCGATTATTTTTTCAATAAATATTGCTTTCCTTCATAGTAGAATAGAAAAAATTTCCTTCACCTAACTATTACTATTATTATCACCTAAAATTAATAGAAAAAAATCTCATACAAGTAACAAGTTTAATCAAGAAAGCAGTGTCTTGCTACCGATATTTGATATGCAATATACAAATGTTACACGGTACAATAGAGGTAATGCCACTGACGAATGGTACCCGAGCGGATCCAGAAGCATCGGTTAAAGCGGAGGAGTATGGGGATCGCGGTTAAGAGGGTGACAGAGAGTAGTCGAGAACATCAGTGGAGAGTGGCAGGAAAAACGGGGCACGCGCTTTCACCATTTCGCCATGCGAAATGGAAGAGCAAATGCTATAATGGGGTGGCAACGAGCCCCAAGAGTCCTGTTTCTTTGCTCCCTCACTCGCTTCTTCTCTGTCTCACTTTTCTACCGTATCGTACGCAAAATATTCATCCCTCTTGTTCTATCAAAATATCGAACAACGAAATCGTGGTACGGATTTGGTTAATTAAAGTTCAAGGACCGTGCTGTCTAATAATGATTTTATATGCTCAGAAATAGTCAAGTGTCTAGTAAGTTTAATCATTTAAAATTTACGTAAATGTAAAAATGTAAAAGTTATGTATTCAATATAATATAATACATTGTGTTTTTGATATTTTTTGAGATATTTATTTGAAATTGCTACACAGATAAAAAAAAATCGACATATCTATTCCATCAATTCAATATGTTATGAAAGATTTTCCATGTAAAAATTAGGGTTGATCTCGCGTTGGATTCTTTTACGAGTATGTTGACTCGACTTTTAACGATGGAATACATTTGATGCTTAAGGCAGGCGAAGGTTTCGAAAGAAGTTTCTTTGTAATCTCTGAATAAATATCGTACGATATATTTCTATGTAATGCTTAAATTCTTCCATTTGTAGTACATACACACTGTGCTGACGATTTACATTCATGGGTGTTACGTTGTTTTTTTTTTCTTATCGAACATTAGAAGAGTTCTTGTTAATATATGAGTTACATAATTTTCGTGAATTAATAACTGTTCGAGAAATAATTAAATAATTATGAATATCATTTGGAATGTAAAATTTAAAGAAAATATTTTTCTCTTATATATATTATCTTGACTGACCTGGTGTAACAATTACGCTATTCAAAGTACTAGTAGATCGAGTGTTGACAAGGAACCAGAGGCGGATAATCGTAGGTGCGAGTTTCGATATCAGAAAGATGAAAAAGACCGACGGTAATCCTTGCCGACTCACACAACTAAGCGTTTCTTATATCGAAAAACCGACTATTCTCCCCTTCAAACAACATTCTCCGTTGGGATTCCGATAGACTTTTTCGGATATATAAAAGTTCAAGTGGTACAACTTGAACAGTTAAAAATCGGAGTGCCACGAAAGAAATCGGTTTATGATTCGACACAGATTAATTCCTACGTTCTGCAGATCTTCTCGTTTATTACCTTCTTTATTTTCTAATATTATCTTTTATCCATTTATTTAGTTTCGTATGTTTCTTATAATATTTAAATGACCAAAAACGTTACGTTTTCACGATAATTGAATGAAATCTTTCAAGAAATTTTTACTTATAGTATATAGAAGTACTTACTTATATTGTGCGTAGGAAAATTTATCATAATTAAGATGTAATATTGCATAGAATTTGGAATTTTTTTTTTTGTTTCTGATGACAATCTTCCAAGATAAAACGTCTGTCGATAAGATTTAATGATGTTTTACATTTGTTTATATACATTGGTTTTCAGCAACGATCGTGTTTAATATGGCAAATATTTGTGGTTTTGAACAATGTTGAAAATGAAATGATATTCGAATATATCATGAATGAATTCTCGATGATACTATTTTGAAGAATGATATATATTTCTTATGTTTAAATTGTATGAAGTTTCTTGTTGAAAAAATAAAATATTCACAGAACTCATAATTATATTCGTAATTTTGCAAAATATTTCATTAAATTTTATCCATATTCGATATGGATAGAATAATTTATTTTATATTTGTAATAATTTATTTCGTTTAATGTTATTTTGTGTTAACATAATCACCAGCGCGAAAAATTGAAAATGTTCAATGATTCAATGTTCTATAATTATAATCTGGACAAGATTCGAAATTCGATGTATTATAATATATTTGAACAGACACGATAAATATCTTCTGAATCTCATTCGCTTGCAATAGTCAAATATCTATTAAATATCTACTTTAATACAGTTTAATGATAAAACAGAAATAAAAAAGAAAAACTCGAAACACAAAGTTGTCATATTCATCAAGGACACTTTTTAATTGGAATCGATTTCTCTTTGGCACAAATTTTCTGTAATCTCGATGATTTTGTGCCAGCCATGCTGAATTCAACTTATATACCATCGAAAAAGTCTAAGGTCGAAGCTTATTCGTGATGTCTCGAAGGCCTCGAGCACTGTTATCGAGGAGTGGTGGATTAACGTGCACGCCTTTGATCTTGCCGACCTGGTCTTATCTAATCGTTTTCCTTTCTCCCGTTCCGTCCCATTCCCAACCATGGCCTCTTTCTCTTATTCTCTTTCACTGCGTTTAATCCTTTTCTCATTTTGTATTTCATACTGTTATTGCAATCATTTCGAATGCCACGTTGAATTCACATTATCATCGACATCAACTTGTCGGCTCCTCTTTTGCTATTTTCCTCATTCGAAATTCGTAATCCGCGAAGAAATATTCTATGCTATTTTCTTCACCTTTCTCCCCGTGAAAACTTTTACTAGAGAGAAGTTTCTTCTTCTTTTGTTTCTACAAGCAATTTTCAATTAATATAGATAAGTTATTAATAATTAATATTAGAGTAATCATATATTTCAGTTTCTTTAATTTAATAATATTTTAATAAATATTATAGATATTTATTTACATAATGATTAGTATCTATTTATTTTTTTATCATGATTTATCGTTCGTATGGATTTATAGATTGTTGCATGTATTGAACATTTTTTAAATCTCGTTTTACTTACTTTATTAATTCCTCTTTGTTCGAGATGTGTCTACGAGTATGATCGTCAAAAGCGTTATCTCTGTTAACACGTTATTGACAAGAGAATTAGGGAAGCAGATATTAAATGTGTAATAACGTCAGTTGTTATCTTCGTTTTCTATTTTCTTTTATTTTTTTTTTTGCAGGAAAAACCAGAACAAAAGATAAATATAGAGTGGTCTACACAGATCATCAGAGACTGGAGCTTGAGAAAGAATTTCATTATAGTCGTTATATCACAATCCGTCGTAAAGCCGAGCTTGCACTCAGTCTTTCACTCTCTGAACGACAAGTAAGTATATCGAAAACATATATCTATTAATATTAATCTACAAAGCCTATTAATGTGCCTATGTGCCTATTAATACGAAATATAAATCGCATAATAAATAAAAAGAGATTTTAAGCAATATATATTAATAAAATCGAATAATGTTAAAAAGTAATTGATAATTCACTTTCGATATTTATAATTCCTTAAATTAATCGTGAAAATTTTACTTTTATTCTTAAAATATCTAATATTCTTCTTTGTTATAATATTTTTTTTTATAATCATTTGATTTATAATTATTAAAAATTAGATATTTATTAACTATAATATATTAACTATAATATCTGAAATATTTCATGAAGATTCCATTGTTCTCAATTTTTAGGAACCGGGTCTATCAAAATAATTAATAAATTATTTTATTTATCAAATTATTTGAAAATTTTTTCTTCTTTCACTATTAAAGCATCTAAAATTTATTAAAACTTCTAAAAAATTCTTTTCGTGCAAAATTCATTTCATTTGATTTCACAATTATAATACTAACCTGTAATAAATCTAAAATTTTATGCTTACATTATACTTTTCATATTCCATTATTTTTGATTATTTTTATTTATAAAGAGAATGTTTTGTTGATGTTATAGGTAAAGATCTGGTTTCAAAATCGTCGGGCAAAAGAACGCAAACAGATGAAAAAACGGGAAGAAATGGAGAGAGAAAGAGAGTTGAAGGCAGCAGAAAGTGTTACAAGCGCGAGCGGTGCAATGGCGAGTCTATCACTTGGAGGAATGCTGGGTGGATTGATGCACAACGGTAACTCATCGTCCCTGGGTCATAGTTCACAGATGTTTAGTTTGAACCACGCACCCCCTACGCTGCAGGCCACACAAACGCAATCTATGCCAAACAATCTATGACCTGAATATTCAGTAACTTGGTCCAATCATGACTGACCATTTTTTTCCGTCATATGCAATACAGAAAAAATGATATTGATAGAATAAGAAAAAGAAAAATAGAAATAGATATATATTGTGATATATGATCTCACGATAATTTGAGGACTCGTGAAAATCGCTTTCTATAATTACTCCTATTAATTAATTATATCTTTTTCTTAGTTTATAATTAAATAATTTATTACTTGATTATCGATAGTTTAAGTTTAAATAAGATTGATTCAAGGCTCCATTAAACTTGAATGTGTTATATAAAAAGAAATTTGTAGCTATATGTTAAAGATGTAAACATCGAAATGTACATATGTAATTATTTCTTAAATAATATAATGTATATATTATGATAATTATTTCAAAGGATTCGATTATAAAATTACTCTTTATAAATTATAAAAATATAATTATATTTTTATAATTTACGATGGGTAATTTTATTATATTATCTGGTTGCAATACTATCAATTTTTACGTCTATCTATTTATAGGAAATTAAAAGAAAGTTGTGCAATTATATACTAACTTTAGCAAATGTTTGTTAAAAAATTAGTAGAAGAAATTTATAACAAATCATAATACTTTCTTATCGATAAATGCAATATATTATTTTTTAAATACAGTCATTGAAATCACATGAGAGAAAAATGTGAAATTACTTTTATATAAATAAATATTTATAATATTCCATTTATATAGACTATTAATATATTCGTGGGATCTTTCTAAAAAATTGATTTTAGAAGGTAAAACAAACGCAAAAATTGATATAAAAAATATTGATATTTATTTATTTATTTAAAAAATTTAAATTCACTAATGATAGAAACAATTAGGCAATAATATAATAGAAATAAAGTTATATTACTTTATTTCATATTATTTAATGCGAATTTAAATTGTTTCTAAAAGTTTTATTTTATACATCGATTTTTGTGTTTGTTTTTTGATTTCTAAAATCATTCCTTCAAGATATCCTACGAATATGTTAACATTTTGTATAAATATATGCCTCAAAAAAAGGACACGAAAGATAGAACGTATCGTTTTTATGTAATTTTCTTTTTTATTAATTTTAATCAGACTTATTAATTTTAATCATCGACTTTTATTATGATTATATTTTATTATGATTCTCAAATTTCTCGTTTAAACTCATTTTTCTTTTTATTTCTTTTTTTAATTCCATGTTAATATGTTTTAATATGTGTATATATATTGCTACAACTTCAATCAGGAAAAATTTCGAATTTTAATCACGACAATAAAAGAAATGAACGATGACGCTATTGTTAATAAGACGGAAAAAAATAAAAAAAAATTGCTGATGTTTTATGCGTGCCTTGAAAGCGTAGTTATTAATTAAGTATTATACATATGCAGACTGCAATTATAATGTTATTATAGATGAAGATATAAAAGAATATGAATGAAAATGTTGAATGAAAATGTGCATGTGAATTTGTATGATTGGATATATTGTATATATATATATACATGTATATATATACATATATATAAACATTAAAATTTGTAAATTATTATTATATAACAAATTAATAATATAATAGTGTAAATGTTACATAATCATTAAATTTAGCATTATTCTGATATGTGATCAAAATAGATAGCATTATATTTAATAATAATCCTTTAGCTCTTTATTATCCTATGAATTTATTATCCTATAATAACGCAAATACTATAATTTAAAAATTTGAATTAATATAATTTAATTTGTTAAAATTATTATTAAAATATTAAAATTATTATTAAAAATTACTATAAATAAAAATTTAAGTATAAAATAATGTCCCTTTTATAAAAACATTACTAAATATAATTTATCATATTATCAAATTTTATCAATTTCAATAAAATTGTACACAATATTTTCAATTATTGAAAATTATCGATAATATCGAACTATTAATCAAAATTTGTCAAGATTCAAGTGTGAAATATGATTAATAATTAAATCTATAGAATAGTAAATAAGTTTATGATGCCATAATTTATAACAATATTCTTAATTACTAAAAATCGACAAACAATAACTATTAAAATTCTATTAAAATTTATCGAGATACAATCATGAAATACGATTAAATCTATAGAATAGTAACGCAGAATAGTAATAATAACATTTACGATCTTTCGATTTGTTTGCGATTTCTCCGAGATGGAAAATTTTTCGCTTCATCTCGAGCAACGCGACGGCCGTTCGAATGGCTCTCGTTAAATCGTACATAAATACGAATGTAAAAACGTGTAATGCGGTTTATGTGAATGGCAAGGAAACGATACCGATGGCAACATGTATCTGCAGAATACACACAAAGAGTGGTGCAAATAAAGCAAGAGGAGGAGACGAAGCTGCGAAGGTAGCAACGAGTCCCTTGAGAGCCCTGAACTTAACTACCAGATCGATGTCCGACCCCAGTCTCTCTTTATCCCCTGAAAGTAACTTCCGCTGTTTACACGCAACCGAGTTCTCTCTACATAGTTTCTCTCTCCTCTGTTCTTGATCTTCTCATTTTTTTCTTCTATTTTTCTTTTTTGCTCTTTTTATAAATATCTATTTGTTTTCTTTTTCTTATTTCTTTTTTTTTAGTTTTTTTTTTTATTTCTTTTTATTCTATTAGATTTCTTTCCTATAATTTTTTTCTATTCTTTTTATAATGTCGATACTTTTATTCTGATTTCATATATCATTAATAAAGAAATTTAAATTGTTTCATACTTGATCGAATTAACTGAAATCAAATTAACTTTATAAATTTCTAATAAATTCGAAATAATTTAAAAAGCAAGTAAATAATCTTTTTTTACCTTTCTATAAAATTTCATTTTTGTCAGATGATAATGTTAGAATGTAACGGTACAGAAGTTCCACTAATGCAATATATGGAATAGGTATCTAATACCGGATATTAATCATTTTTGATAATTGAAATGCTACCAAATCTTTACTTGTAAAACTTGTTAAATAGATAAAATAACATTTTTCATATTTATTAGATACTTTTTCACGTTTCAGTCATACATGCTTAGCTAAAAAAATTGATTAATTATTGCGCTTATAGAAAAATTTGTGTATTGTATAATTTAGATTATTATATATATTTTCATGATCAAAAAAGTGATTTATGAGTTGCGTTATTATATTTTTTGATAAATATTCTTTCTAATTACTTTTGTATTTTATATCGTTACGAATATTGTATACGAATATTTTTCATAAAAAAAACTCTAATGGATCCTTGATTTCGGACAAAACATTATCCTCTATTATCGTATAATCTTGTGTGTCTCTATTTCTATTATATTCAATCGTCATCATATTTTTAAAGTTTCATTCATAATTTTTAAATTCATAAAAATTCATCGAAATTTTTAATATTTAATTCGAGGTTAATAAGAAACAGCACAAATAGAAATATTTCGAATATTTTCCTAAAAAAATAAATAAAGAAGTATTAAACATATAATCATTCATAATTTTATTGTAAACATTTATAAAAACATTATAAATATTATTCCTGATATCAGATGCTAGAAAAAAATAAACAAAAATAAGAATATAATAAAAATAAGAAAATAATAATTGAAAATAAACAAAATAAAAAAAATTAAAAAACGAAAAAAAAATTAAGAAATAAGTTCAACAAAATTAAAATACCAAGAATGAGAAAAATATAAATTATGTAATTGCGTAATTTGTTTAGAAAATAATGAAAAGGATATAATGTTTAAATTATCAAAAATGGTCGCACAAACCTTGTACTGATATTCCCAAGTATTTTTACAATTATATTTATGATCGTAATGAATTATATTAAAATTAATAAATAATAAAAAATAAATAAATTTCCAATTTATATTAAGAACTTTCACTATTCGCATTAGATACTTTTTGATCACTTTTTAACTTCTTACAAATATACAAAACGTTTATTGCATTATATATTACATTTCTATATTACTAAAAAATTGACACAATTATATTATACATTTAATTTCATCAATTTCAAATTCATTAATATCTTTTTTTTTTTTTAGTAAAAAATATTTTTTCTATTCTTTTCAAATATGATATGCTATAAAATATAAAAATGTTACTGATAATTGCGATATATAACCTGAAAATAGAAACGAATATGATTAATTAAATTAGTATAATTTTATAATATATAATTAAGTATAATATGATATTACTGGCCAATAGTTTGAAATCAATAACCAATTTTATAAAATTCAAATATAAATTTATTTAAAAAATATTTAAATTTAAAGATTAAAATTAAATTTCATCATACAAAATTCTATTATCAAAAATCTATCAAATTAAATAAAAAAATTAATGTCTGTAATATTAATTATACATTAATAATAATGAAAAAGATTCAATATAATTAGGAAAAGGTAATGATTTCAAATTTTCAATTGATAATATAAATATCTAGTCTGAACAATAAAAATTTGATTTCCAACCTTTTTTCCTACTAGCTATGATTTACGACATAGAACTGACAAAATCGTCTGAAATGGTATAAACTAAAAATCTCAACGTATTCAAGGATAAAGTTCACGACGAAGTCAAAAAATGCTTTTTCATGGACACATACAAATATAACCTTAAGAGCAGTGTATATTATATTTAGGCATGTTTCACGATGAACGATAGAAATCAAGATAAAAAGGAAAAGAAAGGGATGCGCAACGTCTTTGGAATTGTGTGTGCGTACGATGCTGGTCGGCAATCCGTACGTAATTGGACCCTGAAACATACAACGTTTCACGTATACTGAGAAATTCTGAGGGATACACGGAGAATACCTTTTTGTTCGAATTGCTTGGTCCAGTCGGTCCAGCCGAAAACACCAAATAGATACTTTTATGGAGGGCAATAAAGTTCTGAATTGAGTATCGATGGTTCCAAAGGGGCTAATCTGCGGATGAAAACTGTAATAAAACGTTTTCTCTACGTATGTATCTGAAATCCTTTTACAGTAATGTGCGCCCTTACTTTACGTGCTACCGACTCAGGTATAGAATTCCTTTTGTTGGCATAGCAAAAATGTTGTTTCTTTCGTCAGTAAAGTTCCATTTAATCATGTATTTCATATTAAATTGAATTTGTTCGTGCATTTTTTTTAAATCGAATCAATCGTGAAGTAATTAGATAAGTAATTATTTAATAATATATTATTATGTTCTTATTTATTGTCACTATTTATACATACTTTGAATTATTATTTTTTTAATTATACACATTTAGAAAGAGA